TATCGGGGCCTTTATTATCAGAACGGGTTTTGGAGCATGTTGTTCGGTAAACGTCACGAGGAACCCTATCAATATCCCGACCCTAAACCCTAAACCCAATTTCCTAATCCCTAAACCCAATTTACGGAGTCGAGTCTTCCGTTTGGCTGTTTCGGGATTTAATGTTTCAGTATGAAAGCTCCTAGGATTTGGGGCTGATGTTTTCGGGGTCTGGGTTTAGGGTTTCGGGCTTTAGGCGTTTAGGGCCTGGGGTTTAGGGTTTAGGGGTTTAGGGCAGTTTTAGGGTTTAAGAGTTTAGGGCTGCCAGAGCCGAAACCCTGAAACCTAACACGAAAGCCTGAAGGTTTTGGAGTTCGGGAGACCACCGAAGAGTTCACGGGTTGAGGCAATTGGGGTTTAGTATGCCATAGGGTTCCAGCTTTCGTGGCCGGCAAAGCCACAAACCGCTCCGGCTGTCGTTGGCAGGCAAAACCACAAGCAACAAATCCCAAGTGTTCACACACGCATATATATATATATATATATATATGTATGTATATATATATATATATAGGTACATGTATGTGTGTGCATGTATGCATGTATGTATGTATGTATGGGGGCTGTATATATATATATATATATATATATGTGTGTATATATATATATATATAAACATATATATATATATATATATACATATATATACATATTACAAGCTACATGTACATACATATATATATATACATATATACATATATATATAAATATAAATATTCATATATATTGTTATACAAGCCAGAAAGAACTCTTAACTCAACATGGCTTGCGGGGGATTTACGTAAAGACAATAGGTGGATACTCCTCGCTACTACTTATCCAGACCTCTATATGAATCTATAGGTAAACCCGAAACCCAACACCCAACAGATCCGCAACCAACAAAAAATATGGCTCCTTTCTACACAGAGAGGCATATCCTCAATGACGTACTCTACCATAGGAATTAGGATTAGGCGGACCGTTTGGGATATAGACCCTCTCAATGCCGCAATGCTTCTCAATAAGTCAATAAGGTCCCTGTCAGAGAGCCATAAGTAGGGCTAAGACTAAGAAAAGTCTCCTTTAAGGCGTCTCCCTGAAACTACCGAGGATACCAGCGTTTAGGATTTTTGGGTTTAGCTTCTTTGGGGTGTAAGTCTTCGGAATATTTATCGGGATATTGGGTCTTCAAGGCTCAGGAAACCAGCAGATTTCCTCTTCAAAACTCATGTAGAGTTATTTAGCATAAGTCTTACGTCTGCTGGTGCATGCATCAAGGTGTCTGCAGTAAACCCTGAGCCCAGACTGCACCTTGTCTGCCGCTATGGAGCATCCCGAAAGAAGTGACAGAGCCAAAATGCGCAGTCGGTGCAAGTCTCAGCGTTACTGCGACAAGAAAACCCTTTGACACCTGATGGCTATATTGAAAAAGTGCCTTTTGCTTCTGTAGTCTAACCAGTACATAGTCCCAGGGTAAAAACGCTCAAAATGATGGTGCTGATGATGACAATATCCAATATTCCTGGTCAGTCCGGTTGCATGTATGATGTACTGTTGCAAGCCAGCAGCAGCAGCAGCAGCAGCAGCAGCAGCAGCAGCAGCAGCAGCAGCAGCATTCCTATCAATCGTGCTACGGGTTGAGAGCGCTTTGTTTCGGCAAGTAGATGCCGCTTGTTGAAACAGGACTGCCGAAAAATCCGAAACCGAAGTCCTTTAGGGGCTCTTTTGTTTGAAGCTGTGTACTGCATTCGGGCCGAACTACTTCGCATGAAAGTACCAGCGCCCTCTAAAGCTTGAACTTTAAAGTTTGAACCCTAAACTCAACCCTTCAGGCGTTTCGGGGTCCAGGCTCCAGGATTTAGCTCGGGTTGCCCGACTGGCTCAAACGCTTCCGAGCTTCACAGACTTCAAAGCTAAGGATATCAAGGTTAAAGCACCCACCGGCATTAAGACACTGAAACAAAAGGTGTAGGGCTGAAGTATGCAAGCCTAGTGGCCCCCAAATCCTAGAGGAAGGTTTCAAGGTCTTCTATGTCAGGGTGCCGGATGTTGCAACTAGTAGAGAGAGTCGCTCAGTGAGCCATCCTTTAGAAAGCTTTCCACTCTGAAGGAGCTGGAGCCCTTTCGGCGTCGAAGTCTCGGGGCTTAAGGCTTTGGGCCTGACAAATCGGAGCAAAACGGATCCATTACGAGTCAGGTTAGTCTTGCAAGCCTACAGACCTAGCAAATCGGATAAAAGACCTTTTTCACAAGTAATTGGCAAGAAAATTGCAAAGAAGTCCTTCTGAATTGGCTGGCTGCTTTGTGCAAGCAAGAGGTTTGCAGCTGAGAAAGTGGGCAGACCATCGTTGCGTGTCTACGCTTGCAGACCTCGCAGCATACTGTACAATCTCTGTACAAGGAGGCACTTTTGACCCCTAATTATCATAGGGACCCTTGGGGGTGTAAAGGGGAGGGGTAGGGGACTATACTTCCTTAAATAGGCCTTATCAGGTCCTTACAAATGGGCAAAAGGCCCCCTACCACCCTCCCCCTGTTTTAGTAAGGGTCCCTATGAAATTACAAGAACCATCACAGAAGATGAAGACAACAGATCTCCTGCCAGCCAACGAAAATTCTGTTTGGGTTTCCTTCTTAGATACGGACCCCCGCCGTGAATTTACTGTATATCAAACAGTTATGCCTGAAATGGCACCATTCAACAAAACACCTTTGCCACACATCTCCCGGACCAAAGCCCAGCTCCTAATCCTTATCACCCCTGACACCAAAGCACCCAAAACCCGCGCCGCTTACACCGTGCCAGTCTCCTCTTTCTTGCGCTGGAAATCCCGGCTGTTCAGCAGACAGGGCAGAGTAGGGCTTGACGCCCTGGAAATGTGACATCTTTCTAGGATCCTAGTATTCATGCCTCATGCAGGGGCATAACCCGAAACGCTAAACCCCAAACAGCCCAAGCTTTAGGGTTTAGGGCTTTGAACCTGAAAACCAAACCTTGCAACGCTAATGGGCTCAAGCTTTAAGTTTAGGGCTGAGGGCCCTGAACCCTCGACCCTAAACGACGTCAACGAAGCCGGACCCAAAAACCTCAAAGACTCAACCTTAGCCCCAGGGTTCAGGGTCGACAGTTTCGGTTAATTTTAAGCTTAGCGTTTGGAGCTTTGGGTTTCGGGTTTTGGGTGTTGAGTTCAGGGTTAAGGGCTGGCTTTGGGGCTTCGGGTTGAAAGTTCAGGGTTCGGGGTTTGCTGGCAAAAGGACGGAAAAGCCAGCTGAATACCTTGCCATCGGAACGACTCGCAGGAATCGCGCGGATTGGCAAGCTATTATAAACCATAAAGCAAAAAAACGCCTCTCAAAGATCTAACCCCAAACCCAAAATCTCACCTTTGAGGGTCAACTGTTGTCCTCAGAATATGTACTCCTTCCATGATCCAGGATTTTGGGTTCAGGGCGGATGGTTTTTGGATGAGGGTCTTAGTCGAAGGTTGGGGTTCAAGGTTCAGAACCGGGCCAAAGTTTTGGACGAGGATTTAGGATTGGTGTTGGGGGTGTGGTGGTCTGATGTAAATAAGGAAAATCAGGCGAGACGAAGCCATAAATTCACAACCCTTTCGACCTAAGGCGAAATCCCATGCCCGGAGAATCCAAAACCCATTAAATAGAGTACAAAGAGTTGAAAACCCTAAACCCTGAAAGTTCTAAACCCTGAAAGCGCAAAACCCTAAACACCTGATCCCCGTGAACCACAAGTTCAAAAACCTGAACCCGGAATCCTAAATTTACATGACAACCACCAGAGCCCTAAATCCCGAAACTTTAAACCCCCAGAGCCCTACCGGCTGAACCCTCAAAAGATGCAGCCCAGGCTCGCAGTGGCCTCTGGAACAATGTCTATCGTAACAGCTTGCGACTTCTCAGCTTTTTTCGCGGTGCCTTGCGGTCATTATTGTCGGCATGTTATCTTAATCGCGTGTGTGTGTGTGTGTGTGTGTGTCTGTGTGTGTGTGTGTGTCTGTCGGTCTGTGTGTGTGTGTGCGTCTGTCCGTGTGTGTCTGTGTGTGCAAGACCCCAAACCCTAAACCGTGCGCATTTCTGGGTTGGGGTTTAAGAGTTCCGTTTTGGGTTTATGGTTCAAGCCTCGGAACTTGGAAGTTACCCTGAACTTCCTCCCTGAGCCTGGACCTGTAGAGGGTTTCGGGCTATCGGTTCATGTTTCAGGTGTAGGGGTTAGGATTTGATCTTGAAAGGTGGGGGGGTTAGGATTCAGGGCTGAAGGGAATGTACTTCATGATGATGCATCTATCTTTGATCTATAATATATATATAAACACACACACCTTTCTATACATATTCATATTTATATTAATATATTAATATATTAATATATTAATATATTAATATATCAATATACGAATACCTAGAAAACCTGCCGGCATTTATTTTAGGCGTTAGCGTTGCCGGCGAAAAGTTCAGGCGCCAAAACACAGAACCGCAACACATGAACAGAAACGCCGACAAAAAGCCAAATCTGCCGCTAACAATCCTGCATAACCATCTTGATCGGCATCATCCTCTTCACCAACCAAGAATAATCATCAACTCATCATCGTCACCGTCGCCATGTGCTCAACAACACATCACCATCTTGCTTACCATCGTCATCATCATCATCACGAATCATGATCATCATCATCACCAATACATCGCCATCATCATCATCATCATCATCATCATCGGCATCGTAGTTCTTATCTTCATGACATCATCATTATCATCACCACCCATAGTTCTTCTGTTTGTCGCAGCTGTGTTAAGGAGGAGAGCCTCTGCCGAAGGGGGAGGTCTTAAGGGTTTAGGGCTCAGGGTAGCTAGGGTGGGGGTTTAGGGTTTGGGATGTCGCTGGTCTTTGAAGGCTTCAGAGCGAGCTGAATGGCTGGCCCCATCAATCCCAAACCCCTAGGGCCCTGAAGAGCCGAAGCCTAAACCCCCAAAGCCCTGCAGAACAAATTCCGAAGTACCGGAATCCCGATGACCTGATGCGATGGGTGTGGCAATGCCGTGCTGGCTTCTGTTTGATTCGCTCCGGCTTCAAATCGAGCTCCTGGGACTCATAAGGAGGGGTTCAGAATTCATGGAGTGGCTAGAGACAACTGAAGAGGAGAGAATCCCCAACTGATGGCTTTTTCTCACACCCAGAGCCCTCGATGCTTACGATCTTTCTTGTGGCGACGGATAACTGCCGCCTTCTTGAGAAAGTGCCGCTGGATGACACGGTGTGTCAATGTACGGACACTCACCTTCAGTGTCAGAGAGCAAATCTTGCCAATGGTGTCTTCGTTCATCTCATTGCCCCAGGCACAGGGATTTAGCACCAGTGGGGCAGGAGTGAGGAGGCTCTGCTTCAAGTCCCAGGCTAAGTGATGAATCCCATGATACCTCGGCTTTAACCCAAAAAAGGTTAGCTGCATCTTGAGGCTCTGAGAGGCCAAGTGTTGATAAGCAGACAACAGACTCATCAGATGTAGCTACAAGCTCTGAGCACAAGGTCGTTGCAACCATAAGCCGTGCGAATACATTATATGCAGGGCGTCTTGTGCATGCGAGATAGCCTTTGAAAGCAATGCAAGAATTCGCCGGTGGTCTGGTGGCACAGTCTTGGTAGCCAAGATAAAGCGTGCATACCAATGGATGTATCGCAAAAAAACCATGGTATCGCTTCCTTTGGTGTTCGCCCAACCATAGTCACTCAACTTCTTGATATTAAAAAGAGTCTTTTTGAAGTACTTGGTGCCAACACTGTGTTTGTCCGTGATTCGCCAAAGTGCGAAATGCTTCCAAGCACGGTTCAGTCGATGCTTCAGCTCCTGAGACTCGCCCGGTGACCAGTCATAGTACCCCAATCGTGCCATCAGGACAATCGAAGCCACAAGGTCTCTGCCAAGTCCAACCTTGAACAAATGAAAAATATCCAGTTTGAAGACGAATTCTGGTCGGCGAGCATCAAAAGGGATTGTGCATAACACGGGTTCATCATTCCAAGGTCTCTGAAGAAACTGTGTCGTCGCCCAGTGTGGATCATGGCTTACTTGGTCCCAAGCTAGAGCTGGTGACGTACCAGCAAGACAATGGGAGCACATTCCCAGGTGGTTCTTCTTGCCCAAATGGGCATAAGAACGTGTAAGGTTGCAAAACTTTTCAGCCATATGCTTCATATCACCTTTGATGCCGGTCAAGATGCCCCAGTACTTGACTCCATCAACGACGATGCCGCCCGAAAAAAGCTTTTTAAGATCATCGGCAATGATTTTCGTCATTGTTTGCAGCACTGAGTCATGGTGCTTGTATACCCAATCAGGCAGCCCAAACAACATGTGCCTTGTCAAGAACGAAGATCCTTTCATATTCGTATTTTGCTTGGCAGCCTCCTTGGCTTCATCACAAAGGTTGACCGATATATCGATGCCAGGGACGAACTCAGCTGGAGCTTGCGACACGTGCGAGCAGCAGGAACAAGTGAAATCTTCTGGCATCTCTGACAATCCAATTGGCGATTCCATACATGTCATCAAGAAGTTGCCTCGTTTCGGCCCTTTGCCCTCGTCTGCAAACAAGCAGATGGGTATCGCCAAAGAAAAATCCACGTGGCCTGCACTGAAGACTTCGTGTTCGGGGTGGTGGCAGCGGTACATTTTCCAGAAAGCTGTTAGCTGAACAGGCAGGCTGCTGTGCCCACCGGTCAGCAGGCACGATACTTCACGAATCAGGAAAGACAGCCAGCTGGACACCAGCACATACGATGTAGAAATGGCTTCCCCATCCTCTACAGTGTGAACATGCGTCCGGATTGGTACTGGCAAGGATAAGCCTACCCTTCTGAAGTAATTGTGGCAGTCACGTTCCTCATTGCTCACCTTTCGCCTTTTTTCTTCAGATAGCCCAGGGTTCTGCATCTGCTTCAGGCACCGCTTGGTGTCTTTCGCCGTGGCCTGGGCGGACTGTGTGTTCCCCCGAAAAAAGCAGAGAGAGAGAGAGAGAGAGAGAGAGAGAGAGAGAGAGAGAGAGAGAGAGAGAGAGAGAGAGAGAGAGAGAGAGAGAGAGAGAGAGAGAGAGAGAGAGAGAGAGAGAGAGAGAGAGAGAGAGAGAGAGAGAGAGACGAGAGAGAGAGAGAGAGAGAGAGAGAGAGAGAGAGAGAGAGAGAGAGAGAGAGAGAGAGAGAGAGAGACAGACAGACAGAGAGACAAAGAGACAGAGAGAAACAGAGAGAGAGAGAGAGAGAGAGAGAGAGAGAGAGAGAGAGAGAGAGAGAGAGAGAGAGAGAGAGAGAGAGAGAGAGAGAGAGAGAGAGGGAGAGAGGGAAAGGGATCATTAGGGGAGATGTACACCAAGACAATATGTTTAAGGTTGCTCCGGCCATCTGGATTCCGAGCCTCTCTGCTTGGCTATGCAAGTGCGGTTGGTGTGTTTTTCGGGCTGTGAGATTTCAAGATTGTTGCTGTTCAGGGAGCAAACTCTTGCCTTCAAAAATAAGAACCGAATGTCTAAGTTGAAAGCCAGCTAGGCAAGATCAAGCGAAGAAGTTCAATCCTGCACAGGACAACATATCACCCGAAACATCCTCAGAGACCCGGTCCCACGATTTTCATTGCCAGCAGCTACTTGGATTACCCACCCTTGATTTGGGAGTAGTTCTTAGGGGCTGAGGATTTGAGGTCTGGGGTAGCCGAGCCATGCCGATTCTGAGCAAGCCGGGTTTAGGGTAGGGCTAGGGTTTAGGGATAGCCGAGTCCAAACTCGACCCCAAGCCCTAACACCGAGGACACTACTCCATCGCCCAACATCTCAGCGTAGAGCTGCACCCGGCCATTGTCGCCCGGCTCCTCTTCACCTGGCTTCAGATGGTTGGGGGTTTAAGGGTTTAGGGTTTAGGATTAGATGGTTTTGATGACTGATGATGTTGATGGCTCCTCTTCCCCTGGCTTCAGATGGTTGGGGGTTTAAGGGTTTAGTGTTAAGGGTTAGATGGTTTTGACGACTGATGATGTTGATGATGGTGCTGGTGATAATGAGGCTGTTGGTCCAACAGCTTGAATGCAACGAAGGGTTGGGCTTTGCGTTGAGAGAAGTTGGGTGGCTGCTTTGTTGTTGGGGTATTTCTTTAGTTAGGAAGTGTTTTTGTATTCTATGGGAATTATGTTAATGTGGGACTGCAGCTTGGGCTTCGAGGGCTACGGTCTGTACCTAAAGGGTCAGGGGCTTGGGGCGTGAGATGGCTTGCCAAAGGTTCGCCTTCTCAGGGTTTCAGTCTCAAGTTAATTTACTATATAGACAAAAAGATTCGGTAATCTTAACATTATATCCCAAAAAATGAACCCCAGAACCCTAGGCCTTGACCCGACTCGGATCCTCGAAACCTATCTACCCTAGAATCCCTAGAATTGGAACCCCCCCCCACAGACACCCACACACACACACACACGGACACACACTTCTTGTGGCGCTTTCCGCAGAGCCGACGGGGATCCATCTATGTCCGGTGTTTCTTCCAAAACACTGCTTGATCATACAAGACACAGCTCAGCACTGCTTCCAACATGCTGACTAACTATCGAGGAAGCACTTAGCTTGCGATAGCATCAACATCATAGCAGTGCTCGCCGAGCTGATGCAAAACGTAGACGTAGCTACTTCTTGGCTCGCTTAGCCGGCTTCTCATCTTCATCATCTTCATCTGTCTTCTTAGCACTCGCCTTTGCTTTCTGTGCCGCCTTGGCTTTGCCCTTGGGCTTGGGCTCGTTCTTCGGAGCAGGCTTGGCCGAGTTGCCAAACCTGGGTGATTCGAAACTACTACATCATACCATAGAGAATGCAGGAAGCAGTTAAGACAGGGAGCTTCAGAGATTTGGAACGATCGAAAAGGATCTCGGCTTCGACGGCCCTCGGTATTGGGATAGGTTTTAGGGTTTAGGGTTTAAGGGTGTAGGGTTTAGGGGTTGTATTTGTGCCACCAAGCCAAGTTGCTTCGTCTTGGCTTCCTGGAAAAGCTTGCGGAGGTTCTTGGTGTCCCTTGGCAGGATTGGGCTGGCTCAGTGTCTATCAAAAACAATAGAGTGAACTGCACAATAAAATCCTGACGAGGCTCTCTTTCGAGAAACCATTAGCGATCCCTGCACTGTAGATAGTCGTCAAGCTCTCTTCCAGCTCGTTCACCTTTTCGATGACGGACTTGAGGCTCTGGAGATACCTTAGGTTGTGGGACTTCATGTCAGGAGTACATACTGCCTGGTCACACATACAAAAGCAAATAACTGGTTGATTCGGCGGGGTGCTTTTCGTGTGCCACACAGATCATGCCTTTCTCCGACAACTTCTCCGAGATTGGTTGAAGTTTGCCCACCCGGACTTGGAGACATGTTGTTATGGCCAAACAGCTGTCTTGGGGTTTTCGGCCGACCTCCGGAAACCGAATTTTTTTGAGGATTCGGGCAGCCTCTTCTCCATCGTCGCTGTCGTCGCTGCTGTCTTCATCAGCATCTTCACCTCTCGGCTGCATTTGCTGGGGTTTGGGTTTAGAAGTACTCTTCGGTTTAGGTTTGGATAGAGATAGGGAGTTATGAGGTTCTGATTGACAAACCCTGAAGCCTCAACCCGAAACCGTCTGTAAACTGCAGAACCCACATCCCAGGCCTAACCCGGCACAAACAAAACATCGGACCTTGCTCATGATTGGCTTTGGGTTTTACCTTCCAGAACCCTTCCGGAATCCTCAGCTTATACATATATATATAACCCCCGAGATCCCCTAAAGCCTAAACTACAGGCCGTCTGTAAACTGCTGACCCACACACAAAGCCAAACCCGGTAGCAAACATCATCAGACCTTGCTCCTGATTGGGGCTTTGTTCTTTACCTTTAAAACCTTAATCCCTAAGATCCCGGAACCCGAAGCCGAATGGCGACCTTCCAGGACGGTTCGCTTCTGAAAGTCTAAGGCATTGCTATGCTATTTGGTTTGGATGGCAAGGGCCACAATGCTCAGCAGGATTGGACTCTTGGTCGGGGCTCAAGTTTTCCAGTAATTATTGGAGATGAAGATGAGCTTGG